ACGAAAGGGTTTCCACCCCCCCCAAAGAAAAACAAAAACGAAACTGGTTACCAACCCCCCGCCCCCCCCCCCCCCCCCAAAAAGAAAAAATAACAAGAACCCCAGCAAATAAGATGTTGATTTCCCCGTCTTCTTTTGCTTGGGCTGGTTGCACGTGGCCGAGTCCATGGCCGTTCTCGGCGCAAGCGAAGGCGTTGCGCCGGGAGCTGCAGAGCAGCGAGCGCGAGGAGCAGCGGCTCCGGCAGCAGCTCAAGGAGGCGAGTGGAGGGGGGGTTGGGGGGGGGGTTGGGGGAGTTGGGGGTGGGGGGGGGGGGGTCGGGGGTGGGGTTTTGGTGGGGTGAGGGTGGGGGGGGGGTGTTCCAGTTGAAAGATCCGGCATCTTGACAAGGAGCTCAAATCAGGACGTTTGCGAGTTCTTTTCCAGGCGCGCTCCGTGCCTCATCACGAGTTGCACTCGTTGGAAGCGCCCCAGGTGGAGCAGCAACTGCAGGTGAGCCGAGATGATGCAGACCGAAAGCGCTCGCATTTGGCGCAGCTGCAGCGCGCCTTTCTGGGAATGCGCCGGTGTGTACATATATATATATATATACATGTATACATATGTAGATGCTATATACATATATGTATATATATATACACGCATACATGAGTGTTTTTCAAACTTGTGAAGCCCCAAGTTGGTTAGTGTTCAAGGAAAAACCTGAAATAGTTGTTAAATAGTTCAGCTATCCAAGCACCGCCAATTTTGCGAAACTCCTCGCATTTCCTTTTGAAACATCGAATCAAAAGGAAGCTCGCTTCTCATTCTCTGAGTTCCCAGACTTTTCACTTGGGCCATTGTAGTGGCAAGCGAAAAGGATTTGACTTGTTTGGGCCAATCCACTCAGTAGCTAAGACGTTCTACTTGGCCCGAAACCTGCATGTTTTAACCAACCCATAAGGGAGCTCTGATTGGGGGGGGCCTTTTGACCTAAGCGCAGCTGGTCGCCCTGGACTTGGTTTGTGACCTGTTTGGTTCCTTTGTTGGCCGAACCTGTTCGGGATGGTCCGGGTTGGTTCGGCAGCCTTTAATGGATGCTCAAGGCTGGCACGGTTCCTCTCGCTTGGAAGTGGGAGATTTGGTTGGAAGTCCGCATGTCGGGGGCCGAGGGGCTTGTGGGGTTCCTGGCTAATGTTAACTTCGGCAAAACCGGAGGCGCACCCCCCGGCAAATTGTTTAGTTGGTATGGTGCAGAAACACTGTATGATCTGTATGTGCTGAAAAAAAGCAGACTCACGCGCTGTTGTTCGCAGCACGCATGCGTGTCATGCGCTTGTTCCTTTCCCCGCGGTGTGCGGCCACCACGTGCCGCGTTTGTTTACAGCGTGCGTAGCTCGAAGTGATAGTCTATGTTGGTCTTTCGCAAGGGGGGTTCAAATCCCCCAACGCCAAACCACCAACTCCAAACTACCAGCTCAAGGTCAAGAACACCCCAGAAACCACAACGAGTGCCAGTCACGTTCCGAGGCTCCCTAGAGGCCTCCAGCACGGAGCAGACCGAGCGGCTCACCTGGAGCGAGAGGCGCTCGGAGGCGCAAGAAGCGCTGCAGAAAGCAAGGCAGCAGTGCGCCAGGAAGGATGCGCCTTCGCAGCAGGGGCATAGGTGTCCTTTTTAGGTTAGTTTGGTTAAAAATAGATGGCACTGGATGGCCACCTATGAGCAGGGGGTTTTACCACCCCTGAAGCATTTTTCCAAACCCAGGCTGGGAGGTAAATGCCTCTTTCGGGCTTGGGAAGCAAACACCCAGTTACAGTCTGCTCGAAAATGTGGGAAACTGAGCAAAAACCAGTTTGTGTCCAGAATGAGGTTGGGGCAAATTACAACGAGCTGGGCTGAGGCCTGCGTTACTTAAAGCCAGTTAGTCAGGTTTGCTGCGCTTTCAAATCATGCCGTTCTTGACTAGCGTTAGCGCGGACAATCCAAGCGCCTCAAAGCTGAACAGGTAGATAAATCTCAGCACGGGGACCGTCCCAATTGTGAATAGACGCGACTGGGTTCTCACATATAGAAGTGGCATTCTTTTACGACTGACATGGCCGAGACGGGCGTTTTTGAGCTTCTCTAGCCATACAATAACCATATCAATGCCTTATCGAGGATGCGCGGGAGAAGGGGGGAGGCCACCTTGCTGACGGAAGCTGGCCGCAGGGTAGACACTTTCACGGGGTCGGTTCCCCTGTTTTGGCACCAAAATGGAACAGGACGGTGGTAAGGCTTTGTTCCAGTGAATATATTGTCAAATCATGTCGTCGCTTGCTTGGCCCTTCCTCAGTGGGTTCCGCCACATGTGTCGTTTTGTGGCCAGACTCAGCAGCCCGGCCTGGCAAGATGCAAGATTGTCCTTTGGTGTGCCTTGAAGTGCCGTCCATCGCTTTGTTCCTTGTTCTAGACGATGTGTCTACGGCTTTTCTAGGCTATGAAGCAAGCTGGGGTTGGGTGCAGTGGCCCTAAGATTTGATTCGCAGTACGGCTTTTTGGCATGTGTTTGAGGCTTTTCAGTCAACCTTTTGATTTGCTACAGGCGACAGCGGGGCTTGCCTGTCTGAAAGGATGAAACATTGCAACTCCATCCATGGCTGTCACAGCGCCAGGGCCACAGTCACAAGTGACATTTTTCTGTCCAACATTTCGGGTGATCCAACCAATCACCAAATCCCCTCCCCCCCCCCCCCCTCCTCCCCCCCTCCCCCCATCCCCCCCCCCTCCTTTCTGTCCATGTCTGAGTTGCTCATGTTCGAGGCCACCCTCAAAGAGCTGCGGGCGGAGGCCCAGGAGCAGCGCCGGCTTCGGGAGCAGCGCCGTCGCGCAGAGCTTCAGGAGTGGCGCTGTTGGGCGGGGGCTTGATTGTCGTAGATGCCCTTCGCAAGGCTGCCGTGTTGGCAACCTGCGTTGCTTTTCGGCCTTGTTTTGTTTCTTTCTGGGGGCTGACTTTGGTAATTGCAATACGCAGCGGCCGGCATTCTGCCATTGCATGGCACTGTGTCCTTGTGAGACTCTTTGTCCCTTGACGTCCCTTTAGGCTACCCCTTGACGTCCCTTGGCTATGCTGGCGTTGGGACCCTGGCTATTTTGGGTTCCATGGAGTTCTTCAGGATCTCGATGCTTCGCGTTGTCTGATGTCAACGGGCTGAGTTCTTGTTTAGTCTGCAGACCTTTTGGGCAAAGTTATTCTATTCTTCACCCACAAATGGGAATGGAAAGGCCCACATTCCATCAAAGACAGAGTCCAGCAAGGGGGCCGTGTGTAGGTGAGATGACAAAGTCTTCACCCCAACTGGTCGGCCGTTGGGAAGCCCGTCGGCCTGCCGAAACCGGCAGGAAGTATGGCAGAACGAAACACGTCTTCGCTGCCAGCCAAAAGAAGAAGGAGCAGATAGCACCCCACAGTTCCCAGTTTGTGGGACCCGTTTGGGATGCTTCAGGAAAGCGGGGCATGCGTCGGTTTGTCAGCTATCCCTATGCCCGTCATGTTTCGCCAGGAGCAGCAGCGCTCGGAGGCGGAGGCCGAGAGTGTAGAGCACAAGGTTCTGACCCATGGTGCGGGTTGTTTCCCTGAGGGTTTCTCCGAAGACGAACCAATGTTGGGGTCATGAAGTTGTTAAGGCGGGATTGCCTCAGAATAGGGGTTAATTACGTCCTCTACGCAATCAGCCGGCTTGATTCAAGTGGCCGAGTTTGACGGGATCTCAAAATCATGTTTGGAGGGAAGGGACCAAATAATCACACATGCCTCAAATTGGTTTTTGGGGGCCCCCACCAAAAGACTGGTGGTTTTCCTTTTGGTTTCCTGCAACACCTCACCTAAATGGGGTAATGTTAGCACTTGATTAACAATGGAAGCGCCAAAACAATGGGGGTGCACTTTTGGGAATTCCCAACAATGGAGGATTTTGGGGCCCAATTCTACTTTAGTATTGCAGCCACTTCCTTTTTGCAATTCTACTTTAGTATTGCAGCCACTTCCTTTTTGCAATTCTACTTTAGTATTGCAGCCACTTCCTTTTTGCAATTCTACTTTAGTATTGCGGCCACTTCCTTTTGCAACCAATTGAAAGGGGAATGCTTTGAAGCAAGTGGGCCACCAATTGAAAGGGGATGCTTTTAAGCAAGTGAGCCACCAATTGAAAGGGGAATGCTTTTAAGCAAGTGGGCCTTTTGAGTAAAGCAACTGATAGCTTATTTTCTGGGAGGGGGGGCTGGGGGCTTGCAACTATTGTGGTCCCCTGAAACAATGACATTATTGTGGTTCAGTGGGGTCTGTGAGGGGTACCCTTGTCCTGATTGTTTTTTTTGTTTGCATTGTTTTTTTAAACACGGTCTAATAAAGCGTTTGCAGTTTCAGGGCTGGGGATGGTTTTCAATTTCTGAGGTTTCAGCTGGCTTTGGGTTCTGTGGTTGAGCAACCAAGTGAAAGGGGTATGGGGTCAACATGGATTTTGGGTGATTGTTTGGGGGGGAGGATTTTTTTAAACTAAAATTGATTTGTGGAGATTTTTTTTTGGAATTTCCCGGGCAAAAAAACTTTCAGTTATTCTGGTCCCCCTAAACAATGGGTGCGAACCGGAATAAGGAAAAAAACTTGACATTATTCAAGCCCACTTGATTAATCAAGTGTTAACATTACAAACACCTTCAAAACAGGTCGCATCCGTTCTACCGATCCAAGGCCCTAGATATGGGTCTGATTTTAAGCCCACCGTTTTTCTTTGGGGGCATGTCCACCAACCACTCTCGAGGACTTTCCCTAGCATTCATGGCCATATCCACACCGAGGCCGCCCGCCTGAAGTGCCTCCGAGCGGAACTCAGGCGCAAGGAGCGCTGGGAATGGGGCCAGGTTCCAGGGCTTTCACGTATCCATGCATGTGTGATAGTACATGGCCATGGGTCAAAATCCAAATCGTACCCCCAGTGAACATACCATTGGTTTTGACCCACAGCCATATATTTATAGATTGGTTTGGATGAGTTTATCTCTTTAATTGTTTTGTCTTTATTCATGTGGTGTTATTTATTTCTATATGTCTTTCTTTGTTTGTTCTCTATAATTGTAGTTGTCTGCTTAACATGCGTTCTCATGCTGTGTGTATCGTGCGCCTGGTATGTTTGTTAATATGATTGATGTTGGCATGCAATGCGGCATGCAACAGTTGCAGTCCAACGCTTGGTCATTTGCCCCTACTAACTGTTTCCTGTGCCAAAAACCTATGCCTATTCCTTTTCTATTAACCATAACTTACATGCTATATTCAATGGATAGCCTCAATTAGGCTATTTTCCCTTGTAGTGCTACTCCGCTTTCTGTGCCGTCCGGCAAGTGTTGCTTGAGTTTGCTTGGACTTGGTGGAAATACGGACAAGCCGTGTGAGAATCCGTCAAGTATCCTGAATGTGCTATCATCCAATGTAGACAGTGGGCCTGCGCTTGATTTTGTAGGAGAGCAAAATGCATGTTGCATGTACTCATATGAAAAGTACTTGACCTAATGATATTGGAGGCGCGTGGTGGAAAAAAAGGGATCTGATCAAACCAGTGGGGTCATGCAGTAGCCTTTCGACAAAAGCATCCTCAGATGCTTGCAGGACAAGCTTATAGAGCACTGAAAGTGTCACTTTGAGCACAGCCTCGCTCACAAGCTTCTTTGGTGTTTGCAACCAACGCATGATGCCCTAAGTATTGGAAGTAGGGAATAAGGGTCCCCCTAGTTCACCCTCACTTTACCATGATTTTGTGATTGAGTGTGGTTGGTTCACTTCCAAGCATCATGGCCTTGTAGAAACTGAACTTGTGAATGATTTGCCAGATGAACAATCGCGCATGTTTTGTGGAACCCCCCTCCGTTTGATGTTGACACGCCAAGAAGACAACTTTTTTTTTTTTTTTTTTCGGGGGGGGGGAATCCTAATATGAAGCCAGCCCAATGCCCCCGGTCACCCATTGGTCACCCATTGGTCCCCCATGCGAGGAGCGGCTGCTGCAAGGCACACTGACCCAGACGGAGGTCCTGGAGTCGCAGCTGGCCAACTTGGGATGAGGAGCCCGTGAATCCAAACTCCTTTTCCATACCCGAGCTTACATAAACCCATTGATGGACATAAATGTGTGTATGACATAAGTAAGTACATTTTGAGAGATAGAGGGAGTGTGAGAGAGAGAGAGAGAGAGAGAGAGAGAGAGAGAGCGAGGGAGAGATATATTTTTGACCTACAGGATCTGTTGCACCCTGAGGACGTGGGATGAGGCGACCTGAAGACTCCGAGTCGAGTGTGCCGCTGTTTGCCGCTGAGAAGTGCACGCTGCAGCGTGCGACGACGCAAGGGGCGGGAACAAGACGCGAGTTGCTTGCGGAGCTTTTCGACTTGGGCAAGCGGCCTCAGCATCACGCAGGTCCCCGGCTTATCGAGGAGCTTGGCCTACACCCGCTCGATCTGAACCGGTCGCGGGAGGTGCAGCATTCGACCCAGGAGTTCAGTGACGCTCAATGCGTTAGATGTGAGCTGCACAGCGGCCAAGCTGAGAGAGTACCAAGGCACACGGTTGAGTCACCAAATGTTACACGTAAACCAACCACAAGCCTGACAGTCAAATACAGGCCTTAGTGATTCCATTCATCTTTGTAATAGGCGACAGCGAAACCACCCTTAGACGACAAGACAAGAGGCTGAGATTCAGCTGGAATCAGCTGACGCTGCAGATTGAAGGGTCAGTGCCAAGCACTGTGCACTTCCATTTGCTCAAGGATCAGGTTGATTTGCTGGTTGTCCCCTGTTGAGTTCGAAAGGAAGCTGACTAGCACATGGTTAACGAACTCATGTGTCACCTTGAACAAATGGAGGTCTTTCACACCAGCTCACGGGGTGAGTACGGGAAAACCGGAGAGATGACTAGCTATGCCTTGCGGCGTGCTTCTGTGAATGATTACCGAGTTCTTCCAAGAAGTCATGTTTATTTCCCTTGACTGCTATTGGGTTGGATCTTCAGACTTTAACTTTTTGGGAAATAAAGGAGTCTTCCACTAAACCCCCAAAAGTTAAACTTTTTGCAGGGGGATCAACAGCAACCAAGTTCCTTGTCCTTGATTTGTCCCCCTACTTGCTGTTGAGTTTTTTTTGGTTGCCGGGGGTAATGCGTGTTTTACCACCGGCTAAAAGTTGAGCTGCTTGCCCTGAAACCGAGGGACTCACATACGTACTAGTTGTCCCATGTCTATGGCGGCAGCTGCTTATTTTGTGCTTCTTGCTTATACACAAATATGTTTGAGCCAGCCCAAGCCAGAAAAGGCATAAACTCTTGAAACTTTACTAAGGTCGTCAGATTGTTGATGATGGTGGCTATCACGTAGTTGCGTGGGCAGAATCAGACTTTAGCGATCAACTTGGAGCCTTCACCTGAATGGTAGCGGCCAGTGCCATCTGTTTTTTTCCCCCATAGGGTCTTGGTGTCGGGAGCAGCGGATGTTTATTTGTGCTGGAAAGTCGGGGTCCTTTGAGGGCGACAAGGTTTGGCGAATGTTGACGCCACCATTGTTCTGGGCAAATTATAAGCTTACCAGGGGGTAGACTAGCTCGGGCCCAATGATGAAGGTCGCCTACTTGAGGGATTCCTGATTTCCTGAGTTGGAGCCATTTGCGCAAATTGCTCAAAGGCTGTTAGATTTGTTCTTGCCCAACCTTTCTGCATGATACTTCATCCCTGCTGCGCTTCAGTTTGAGCTCAGATTGCCATGGACGAGCCTGTCAGGAGTGCATCGAGTAGAGAGCATCGCGAGAGCCAGAATCGCCGGACGTTCGACATTTCAATCACCACGCCAGAGCACTTTGCGTGTTCATGGGACCTCATTGGAAGCAAACTTGCTGAACCCACACATTGAAGGGCACACTCGAGAGCCACCGTCGTGTGCGTGTCCTTTTCGCAGCAGAAGTTGTCGACCATGAGCGGGGGTTATTCGATTCCGCCTGTAGAAACGGCCGGGGGGCCAAGATCAAAGATTGGCCATGGATGCTCACAACTGCTTGAGATATGTTGTACCCTCAAGAATCAAAGGGCCCTGTACCAAGGGCCTGAAAAGGGGAGCGAGGTAACATGAGTACATTGGACGGTTCTCTAGCCAAGTTATTGCAACCTGACAAAGGGTAGTCGTGCCACCTTACTGATCGGGAACCCTTCTTTTGGCCAGGACTTATAAGTTAACTCAGATGGGCGTTTCTCACAATGATGGCCCCCTTTTTACTTGGTATTTCTAGGGAAGGCAAGAGGATACAGCACATTTTAGGGCACACTATTTCGGAAATCGACTAAGAAGTAATTCTGCCTGAATACCCACTTGCAATTTTCAGGCTAAAACTGTATAGGTGTGAAATTGTTTGGCGGAAAACTGTTCGCGTACAGATGTGAAATGCTTGAATGCGGAACACTGCTAGCCGCTTGAAACGCATGTTCTCACTGCATAAATACGTTTAGCCATGGCAAGAGTGGTCACCGACACCTGGCTGTTGGTCAAAAATGCGTACCCAGAAGCCTGGTAAATGGCACGAAAGACTACAACCTGCGATCCCCTGGTGGTTTTTATTTTGACCCATACCCACCTCTTGGACATTTGTGTTGATCAATGGACAGTATTATTTCCACTATTCCACAGTTGATTGGAGGGCATGGGAGTACCGCCCGAATGCGGGAGACTCCTCAGTTGCATCATTGGCCATGAACGGCAGTTGCTCATCGTGTGTGTGTGTGCTTTGTGAGGGTACAAGGGCAACCAAGAGGAACACCTTGGGTTTGGGGTCCTCCGCGCTTGGAACACACACACACACACATTCGGGGCCTTTTGATGCTGGGAAGGCCCATCATCTTTGTTGTTCAGTGGCATCACAATCTTGTTTGCTTGCCCAAAGGGTTCATTGGACTGTTTCGGACGGTGATTGAAAGGAACCTCAACGGTCATCTGCCCTTGTGAGGGCCTTTCAAATTTCAAAGAATGGGACTATCCATATTATGCATGGGTGTTGTTTCAGGTATGGAATGATTCCCCGAAACAAAAACCGTTGGTCGTTGGTTTCCCTTCTAATACCTCCCAACATGGGAGGAGGCTCTGAGTTCTCAAAAGGCCGAATGTGTCCCCTACTTTTGTTAGTGATGAACCATTCATACAGGGGCATGTTTTCCAGCCAGAAAACACAAACACCACCAACAAAACTGCGGTTTCTGCTTTCGAATGCCCCAAGTTTGCCGCCAACTCTGCTTTTTGTTTGAACCAAAAAAAAACGTTTGGCGCTGCCCGGGACATTTGGGCCCGCGCTTTCCCAGGGGCTTTGGACCCTGGAAAAGCCCCGGGCTCGGGCCGATCCGGGCGGGGCCCGCTTCGGTGCGAGGCGTGGCCCAGCCGCCCGCCTGTTCCGGATGATGGCGCGGTTCAGTGCAGAACCCGATGGGCCATGGGTTCGGAGAAATCCGGGATTTGGTCTGAAAGGGTTCTTCTTGTTTGAGGCGAGGACCTCTTCTTCCCAAAGTTCGGGGTTTTGGGTTGACTGACAAGTCCTTCTTATTTGAGGCAAATCCCGACAGCCAAGGGTTTTGTTGATGACTGACATGAGTAACTCACATGTCCTTCTTATTTGAGGCAAGAGCCTCTTCGTCGTCAATACACCCAGGGATTATTGGATTCCGAGCTATTTTCCAGATGCCTCTTTGTGATTTGGGTCGTTTGGATCATTTGACAAGGGAGCAATTTCTACAAAATCCACCGATTTGGAGAGGGAATAAATGAGCAAATTTCAAAAACAAGATGGCAAGTGAGCTGAGAAAATAGTTTTTTCAGTGGTACCCTGAAAAAGAAAACGGCCGCACGTCTTGCAAAGAGAGCATCGACTCCTGGAAGCCAGCAAGCGCAAATTCTGAATACGGAAGCCATCAAGCTGATCCTTGTTTAAACACTAGCTCCCTCCTGTTGCTCCGTTTCAGGACCCCACAGGCCAAAGAAGAGCCAATTCCAATCAGGTCGAAGAGGCAAACCCTTCGTGTTTGGTTGGCGCTCGGGAATGAATGCAGGAAGAAAGTGCTCAAAGACGTGAAGGGCAGACAATATGTGCTCGTTCAGGGACTTCAAGTAATATGGGTGTAGTTGATTCCCTAAACCTTGCAAGCGAGCAGGGACACATATTTGCGGTTTGCCATGGTTTGTGGTTGCTTTACGCTTGATGTCCACAATATTGCAAGTAAACCAACCACGAACCACAGAGACTTGCTTCTTCCTACTTGCCAATCAGTTGGCATCAACCTTAGCAACCTTAGCACATGAGTACAGTACAAGCAACCTGGTACCCCAATGTTTCTTTTGTTCCGCTCAACCCCTGTATTTGGTGTTGTTTCGCGGTAGCCATGTTTTTGCTTCGATCGTTTGCATGTGCTGCCCGTATGAAACTCGATGTCATCCAACAAAATATTGGAATCAACAAAAAGCAAATGACCATATTGGTTTTGTCGTAGCGTATACCTGGAACTTTCGTGTAAATTCAACGCCGTTGCCCGAAAGAGCAATCCGGTTTCAGGAAAGAAAGCTCTTGCACGGGGGGGAAAACAAGAGCACTCCCCCGAGTCCAGTTTGTGACCATCCAACAAACATCCAACAAACCCAAAACACTATGTTGAGTAGTACACCCTCACAACGCCTACGCCTTCACGCCAAAGTTTGCGAAGACGCGACCATGCCAGCAGATAGAAACAAGAAATCGGTGTTTGGTCAGAAACATAGGTTTGCACAAATTGTGCCAATGTGGCACGTGTTGAAACGCCCAGGTATGGCTATAGATTGAGTCGAGGAGCTTCTCAGAACTACGGAATTGGTTGCTGAGAACTACGGAATTGGTTGCTGAACATAAACCCGCAGGGGCCCTACCTAGTGAGCCTTAAGGCGAAGCTTGCGGCCAATGCCAGATGACTTGCTGGTGCTCAGCAGGGAATGTGGGAATGAACCTGGGGATTCCCTTAAAGGAAACCATAAGAGATGGCCTCGTTCCCTGCCTATCGCAGGAGCAAACAAGGCCAAGCCGCTGCAACGAGGTGCACCCACATCGACGCGGCCATGGCCAAAGCCTCCTGCGCCAAGTTGGGCTACTTCCAGGAAAGGGGACAGAGTGGAAAATGCGGTTCGGATGACCAGCCCCAACAAGAACCAACAAACAAACAATCAATGAAACAATCAAACAATCAAACAACAACAAAACGACAAATATCAAACCACATCCACCTTGAAAGGGTTGTGAAAACTTTGGTCTTCGGCTGCCACATGTCGCCACTGTTTGTGATGCCAAACAAAACGATAAATTTGTCGTAGGGATGGGAACCCCACTTTGCTATCACGTACATGCTGAATCTCCGCAACCATGTGCAGATACAATGCCGCGGCACAGTATATTCGACCACAGCTTGGTGTGTGTGTGTGTGTGGGTGGGTGTGTGTGTGTGTTCGTTTGTTTGTGTGTTTCTGTGTTTGTGTGTTTGTGTGTGTGTGTGTGTCAAAGGGACCCCTTGGCGGACACCGTTGAATTGAAGTGGAA